AGAATGGATGTACTGGAATGGAGTGGAATACCTCGTTTTCTAAAAATGTTATCACTTCGCTTGAGGTTGCTTTTTTCATTGGTTTTAAGAGAACAAACTTGGGAAAATGGTTGAGACAAACAAACACAAAGACGTTACCATTACATGAACGAGGGTAGGGACCCATAAAATCGATGAATAACCGTTGAAAAGGTCGTTCGGTCACGTGTTGCCTTCCCATAGTTGGCCTTTTTAACGCGTTTTGGGTCTTATTTCCCTTACAGACTTCACAATCCTTCACGTACGCTTGTACGTCGGTGACCATTCCTGGCCAATAATATTTTTGACGAATGCGTGCCAAGGTTTTATGGATACCTCCATGCCCAGCCGATGGCGAGTCTTGAGAAGATTCCACCAAACCTCTGTGTAGTTCCGACGGGACCCAAATCTTCTAGGTCTGGTCCTCTTGAAGACCGTCCCCCCTGTTAAACTACGCCCGTCTATAAACGTATCCGTCCGATACGCACAAGTCTGGCAGCCTGTCCTGGTTTTCCGTCACTGTCTTTTTTAATTCATTATATTCGTCTGATTGAAAATAAGGTGAGTCCAAGCAAATATCTACCACTCTTTCACTGGAAACAATTTCCTCTACGTTCGCACGTGATAACGCATCAGGGACAACGTTTTGGGATCCTTTCCTATGTTGGATGTTAAAGTTATAACCTTGGAGCTTGAGGCTCCACCGTGCTAAGCTGCCTGAAAGGTCCTTCTGGTTCATGAGCCATTTAAGGCTCGCGTGATCCGTAATAATCGTAAATAGTAGACCCTCAATATATGGCCTGAATCTCTTGACACTAATCACAGCGGCGTACCACTCCAGTTCTGTAATGCTGTAGTTTCTTTGTGCTTTGTTTAACTTCCGGATATGCACGCGAGAGGTCTTTCGTTTTTATCGTCGTCTAATTGGAATAAAACCCCTCCCACTCTATCAGTTGATGCGTCACACTGTACGTAAAAATGTCTGTCAAAGTCGAGATGTACCAATACTGGAGCAGAAATAAGGCTCTGCTTTAATTGCTCAACTGATTTCTGGGCATCCTCTGTCATAACAAACTTTTTAATCCTGTCCTTAGTGTAGCAGTCGTGCAGCAATCGGAGCTGCAATAGTCGCGTAGTCTTGGATAGTCGTAACTGCTTCGGAGTTTTCGGCTCGGCCCTCACGGCCGCCACCTTATTTGCATCGGGTCGTATACAGCCATCACCAACTACGTATCCCAGGTAACGTACCTCTTTATAGCAATATTTGCTCTTTTCAACATTAGTCGTTAATTTTGCTTCACGTAGTCACCGGACGACCTTTTCAAGTAAACAAATCGTCTAAATACACAAACACACATTCACGTAAAGCAGCGGGCACCGCTTTGTCCATTAACCTATACATTCTCTGCGCCGCGTTGCATAAACCAAATGGCATAACTGTGAAGTGGTACAAAGGCCTACCGGGTATTGTATTGCGTCTTTCACTGACCGTTCGTTAACCTTCCTTGCATCTAGACATAGTCGATTTTTGGTACCTTTTATCACTAGTGAAACGGGCGAATTACTCTCTTCTATAACCCCCTAGCTATCATCCTATCTAATTCCGCATATATAAGTTTTTGAATGGCTGGTGAGATGGGGTAATGTCGCTGTTTCACTGGGACGTTTTCTTCGATAACTTCTATCACGTGTCCTTCCATGTCTGTGCGTCGTAATCCCAAAATGGCAAAAGATGGAAATTGCGTCTTGACCCTTTCCAACACTAAGTTCTCCTCCGGAGTCAGAACATGTTGTACGGCATCAAAGGAAAGATCACCATCTGCTGGCACAAGTTCCGCAACCCCCACTCGAGTGGACTCTACATTCGTGTTCTTACTGACAACATTTAAGTTAAACGTTTGCCAAAAGTCGACACCCAGGTATACCTCCTGTTGTAAACCGGGAACTATCAGGAACTCAAGGTCCTTGGTCATGTTGTCCCAATTCACAGGTGGTGTAATCACCCTTATAACTTCCGTTTCACCGCAATTTACGGTTCGAATGTTTTAGCCTGATATCAATATTATTTTATTTTCTAAACCTTTTAACAACTGGCTGGCATTCTTACCCAAGCAACTCGCTCCTGCCCCAGAATATAGCAGCTCTAACACATCTTTACCACCGATTTTGGTTGTGCGAAAAATCTATTATCCTTTCATCGTTACTATTGTACCACTATTTTTCTATGGATTCTCCTATAGTACGTTTTCTTTTCCTCATCTTCCTAATTTTCTCGTAATTTCTAGTATTTTTCTTCTTCATTAACTCCTTACCAAATATTCTACTTCGTGCCGTCTCATACTCTTGTTTTCTTTGATTTAAGGTCTCTGGTTCGGGTTTTACCTTAACATCCATTTTATTACTTACTCCGTTTTCTTTCTAGGACTTTCCGAGTTTTTCCTCGTCTGGCTGGAGGTCCCGGCTATCTCCGCCAGTGATGAGTTTCCCGCACCCGGCTTGTATACACAAAACGACATGTCACCCCC